TGTACCAAATGGTACACAATGTGGAGATTCGGTTTTGTAAAGATCTTGCCTACCTGAATCTGGTTAAAAGCAGAGTTGATTAGATGAATAGGGCAGCGGTTCTTAACCTTAATTTCATAAAACCTTGAAAATCAAGGCAGAGTCTTAGAGAACCGTCCTTCTTGCCCTCAAAAAAATAACCCACACCAGCGGGGGGGAAAGGAAGGGCGAATAATCCCGGCCTTCAGAGAATCTGAAATTATGTATTTCTTCACTGCTTGTGATTCCGGGGCCGATAACAGATACAACTTGCCCCTAGGGGGTGGAGTACCTGGTGGTAAGTCAGTCTCACAATTATAAGGTTTATGCGGAAGAAATGCATTGTTCCTGCATTTATTGAATACCTCCTTGAGGTCATGATACTCCTTAGAGACCTTTGGCATGTCTGGATAATATTCATCCTCCTCCTTTTCGGCCAACAGCTCTGGTTTAGCAGAACGCAGGCGGGAACCAAAACAAGAGGTAGCCCAGTCCAAAACATCCACTTTCGGCCAGTCAATATGCGGGTAATGTTTAAGTAACTAAGTTAAACCTTGAACAATAGGGACCTGAGGAGAATCAATAATCAGAAAAGATAGCTGTTCAACATGGTTACCCCCCACCATAGTTCAACTGGTTTAAATGGCCATCCAAGGCTATTGCCTTGTAGGAATCCAGTGATGGAAAAAGCCTTATACCCAGTGGTCTGGCAAAGTCCCCATCCATAAATTCAGTATTTACACCAGAGTCCACAAATGCAGACAGATTATGACTGCAGGAATTAGCTAAAAAAATTACAGGAAGCAGAAGATCTGAGGAGACAAAAAGTTTGGTGTGGTTCAGCAGGATATATTCTGTATATTCCAGTACAGATCCATCTCCCTGTATAAGTGACAGAAGTCCTCTAGAAGCCTACCTTCCGGGAAGAACTGGGTAGAACTACAGTAGAACTTACATGAAGTAGAATTGTTTTACCATTCAGACATTTCCCACAACTTCTCTTTATTGGCTAAGCCTGACATTGATCAGAGTCAGCCTTAAACAGTTCAGGGGAAACAGACGCAGCTCTTGACAATCTGATCTGAAAACAGGTGACATAGATGCCGACGCTCTCGTAGGCGGATGTGTGGGAGCAGTACTAGCCTGATTACTCAAATGTGTTAGGATTTCCCGTATGTCTGATTCGAGTTGAGTTATACATTCTTCTACGTCCAAACGCCACTATCTGCTGATGGCCGAATTATTCCGTAAATCCATCAAGCCAGTCATCAGCACTAAGATCATGACAGACAGAGTGAAGGAATGGAAAAGTAACAGTTTAACTACAAAATTTTCTCAAAGATTTAAAGGAATTTTTTTTGCATGATCAACATAGTTGAATAAGTCCATTAAAGATAAACAAGATTTGTGAACTTTTTCCAACTGTTTTTTTTTTTGTTATAATTCATTTTGTATTTAGTTTCTATTTTTATGATTTGACTCTCTTTTTTAATTTCCTACAAAGTTTCCATGACTCTGCAATCCAACAGATCCAAATATACAGAGAAGAGACAGTAACTCAGAGATATGAGATTCAGGGAGGTGGAGGATATCAGTGCATGTATAACTGGAGAACAACCAGCAGAAACTCTCAAACAGTTAGTAAATACAGGATCAGCAGAGCTCCTGAATCCTACAGTGGAGAAAACAGCAGCAGGGCTAGAGGAGATTTTGAGCTAATAGGGTGGAATGATACCTTCAAGGTATGTTCAAATTAAAGAGGATCTTTTTGCGATGAGCAAATGATTTACATATATTGTAGAGGGCAGTACAAATGGACTGGACAAATTCCAAACTGACCCCTAAACACAACCCCTATGCACTAATCTCTCTTTTTGTTTTCCCGCGGAGGCTGGGTAGGGTAAGAGGACTGTTCACCCATTAAATCACCCATTAAACTCGATGGAATTTGGTTGTGGGAGAAACACCTTCATTTAAGGGTTAGTTCCATTGGTTTGCTGTATTTCTGACAAATCTGCCATATTTCCAAAAGGAGAATTCTTCTTTGAAATTGTTGTATTTTACCCTATAAATTTATTTTCCAAAAAGGGGCAAATGCTTAATTTCATGTCAGCCCAGTGAACAGTTTTTATGTGTTTGTTTCGCAAACAATGAAGCTGACAGATTTCATCTTGAGTGCAGCTCAGCACTGAATCAGTTTTATTCCTACAAACACTTGCTGATTGGCAAATAATGCTTTCAATGAGTAGGCCTACTCTGGTACTGGAGAATCAGTTATTCTTTTTTTTCAAGCTATAGAAACCAGTGAGGCCCAGAATTTTAAGGGATGAGCCTATAGGCCCTCTCTTAGATCCTATTGCTGTTGGGTTAAAGTAAGAGCAGAATGGATTCTATATACATCTGACCAGAGCACAAATAAATGTTTATAACTCAGAGTTAGGTTTAGACATTTATTTCGTTTTGTATCATTTTAAGACAGTAAATGATGATAATAAAATATAATAATATGGTCCTATTTCTGTACTTAAACAGAAACAGAAGGGCAAGGCATTTTAAGCTTTCAGCCTATATGTGTGAAAATGACCTAATATCTACTTTAAATATAATATGCAACATGGAAACTCGATAACTTATATAGAGAGAGTTTTGAAAGGAGCACATGAGACTTTGTAGATTTTTTGATAGTGCTCCCCATAAGCATATAAACAAGCAAAATATTTCTTTTGATTTTTTAAAATCAATTCCTGCTCCCATACCCTTAGCAGGTGCATTTTTAGATTATGGGCCAGTCACACACCTATGAGAGATTTCACCTGTTCGGATGGCAGCCTTTATTAAAATTAATAAAAAAAATTTAACATCACAACGTTAAATTATTTATTAGTCTAGGCAACAAAAATATGAAAGTAAAAATCTTCTTTACTGGTGTATTTGCTTCACATTTATAATTAAATGCTATTTTTTTACTGAAAGGAAGCAGAATATTTTATGTCCTAATTATGTTCAAACTAATATTTTACATGATGTCAGCCTTTTTCAGACGTCAGTTTTAATGCTTTGAATTCACTGTTATTAAGATTTCTATTGTTTTCATTGTTCCAATAATATTTATTTTTTCTTATTAAGTCAGTGTACAGATTCATAAATTTAATTGGTTTATCTAAACAGACTTTTTTGTTCTAAATGTTTCTGTTCTAATCAGATATTTCTTTATGTGAGCAGTTTCCATTAAACCCACTGTGACTCTGCAACACAACTGGTCTCCAATATTCAAAGGAGAGAGAGTCACTCTGAGATGTGAGATCCATGGAGGTGGAGGAACTGAGTGGACGTATGAATGGAGACCAACCAGCAGATACTCTGAAACATTCAGTGAATCCAGGACCATAACAGCAGACAGTGACTCCTACAGCTGCAGAGGAAGAACAAACTATGAGTTAACTCAATGGAGTGATTCTTTTTCATTAACTGTTTGTGAGTTATCCCTGTATTTTAGAAAATAGGTGATTATTTGAAATGTTTCAATTAGTTTTATCTAACTATTTTCTTCTATTAAAACATTAAAATTTGAGCTGTTGTTTTCCTAAATATTTTAGTGTATTTGTTTTAAAGTTTATGCTTAAAGTTTGAATTAAATATTTCATAACATTAAGGATCTTATCAGCTTTGTTAGTGTCTAATATGATCACAACGTTGCTACAGGTGAGCTAGATTATGTTGACCACTAGAGAACAGTTTAGTAAATGTTCTAACTTTACTCTTTTGTTTTAGATCATCATAGATTAAAACAGATTTTTTCTTAATTGAACAATATTTTTCAGTGAATACTTTCAAGAAGAACATGAACACATAAACACTGTAAAGTTATCATTGGCTATACTTGGAAATAAATATATGTGCATGGTAAATAAATAAACAAGTTAGAATAAAAATATGTTTAAATTCTCAGGGGATCATGTAACTGATTTATTCTACTAGCTGAATGCGAGATTTATGGTGATAAAACACTTCATTAAACAATATTCTGGAGATTTACTTGTTTTTGTTTTTCCCTCAAAAGCAGAAAAACCAAGAGCCAAACTGACAGCAGAGGAAACAATCATACCAGCAGGGGGCAGTATAACACTGACCTGCTCTGTGCCCAGCTCTGCTGGATGGAAGTTTGACTGGTTCAGACAGGAGTCATGGGAACATGTAGCTCAGTCCATCAGAAACAATGAACCTGATGGAGTCCTCATAGTCTCAGAGGGAGGTATATACAGCTGCAGAGGAGGAAGAGGAGATCCAGTTTTCTACACTGAACGCAGCAATAAAGTCTCTGTAAGGAAAACTGGTGAGTTTAGTTTCTGTTCATCATTGAAACAAAAAGTGATTTCAGATTTGTTAAATGGTGGGGTATCTTTTTTTGCAACAATGATATAATGTTGTCGGGGGAAAAAAGTGCATTACTTACTGTGTTAAGTATCTTTATGATCCAAACATAATGAGAAATCATCCTGCTGACAGATTTTTCTAATCATTACCTCTCACCTCTATTGACTTAAATTTTTTATGTTTTTTGTTTGTTTCTTTTTTTTAGGATATTGTATTTCTATTTTATCACCATTTCTTAATAAGCTATGTCATAATAAAGCTAAAGTAAAAGCAGGTTCTGCAGTGGAATAAAGCTTCAATCATCAAAGCCATGATGCTCTTTATTTGCATTAGATGGACTATTCATCTCTAGTTATCTTTTAGTTGTCAGATTTACTGTTTACTAATTATAATACATGTATGTTAAACCACTATTCACTTAACGTCTATTAAGTTTTGGTATCACAACATTGTTTATATTTAATTGACCCCAAACCCACATTACATTAATAATGAGTTTTAAGATCTAACATTTCAATCAAAGTCTAATTCCTCCATCATAGTGCTGATGCTGCCTAATGATTGATTCCAACAGGTGACCTTCGCCCTGTCCTCTCTGTGTCTCCATCATGGCTGAGTCCTGGAGCCTCAGTGACTCTGAGCTGTGAGGTTAAACCTCAGTCTGCAGGATGGAGGTTCTTCTGGTATAAAGCTATTCCTGATTTATCATCCAGATTCTACAGCTTTGAGCTGCTGCCTAACATCACCAACAGAACTGAACTGAACTCCTACATCCTTCATGGACAAAATCACACAGCAGGATATGTGTGCAGAGCAGGAAGAGGAGATCCAGCAGATTTCACTGCTTACAGTGAACCAAAGTTTATCTGGTTTCCAGGTCAGTATTTTCCTCTCTATGCTATAATTAAGCAGGAACCATAGTTATATGTTTAATCTGTAACCATCATTGTTATCTAAGAACATTTATGTGAATGCTTTATATCGACTGTCATGTTTTACTAAGAATTCAGATAAATGTTAGATATGAGTCAGATTTATTATAGTTTTTACCAGAAAAAGTTAACATTTATTCTTGCTGTTCTTATCTTATGCTGTTTATAGGTGAAGAGTGAGAAAAGGATGTTGTTCAAAAACATCTGTTATATTTCAGATTTTTTCCTCTTTCTTTTTTATTTATTTATTTATTTATTTATTTATTTATTTATTTATTTATTTATTTATTTATTTATTTATTTATTTATTTATTTATTTTTAAAACAAGTCAATCTGGTCAATGTTCTCTAAAGATAAGCCTAAAACTACAGTAAAAAAAACAATGCTATCCAATGAAATGTATTAATACACATCAACTTCCAAACTGTTGATTCTTCTTCATTGATGCTATTCCAGGTTTTTACTGCAGCTTCTTTCAGTTCTAGTTTATTTTGGGGGTTTCTCTCTCAGTCTCCTCTTCAGGAGGTGAAATGAAAGATCTGTTGGGTGAAGGTCTGGTGATTGACTGGCCTTTCTAAAACCTTCCACTTTTTCCCCTGATGGAATCCTTTGCTTTGTTAGCAGTGTGCTTTGGGTCATTCCTGCTGCATGATAAAATTCCTCCAGATTAGTTTAGATGCATTTTTCTCAAAATTAGAAAGCAGAATGTTTCTGTTCATTTCAGGATTCATTCAGCTGATACCATCATCAGTTATTCATCAACAAATATTAATGAGCCTGTTTCAGAAGCTGCCATGTAGCCCAAAGCATGAAATTAAGCTACTACTCATGAAATTACCTCCACCGTGCCTCACAGATGAGCTTTAAAGCTTCAGATCATAAGTGGCTCATTTTTTCTCCACAGTTTGGTCTTTCAATCACTTTGGTAGAAATTAATCTTGGTCTCATCAGTCCATAAGATTGTGTTGCATAACTTTTGGGGCTCATCTATTTATACATTTCAATGTAACTTTAGACAATGCTTATCAAATTACTCCTTAAAATGTCTTTTACTCCAAGTCCTGTGTTTTTGGTGACCTATTAAACCCTGTTACTTTGAATGTTCCTGCTTTCATTAAAACATTTTTCCGAATATGCTCTCTAACCTTTAAACTGCAGTTGTTCCATAAAGTAATTTTAAAGGTTTTCACACAGTCCAGAGAAAACCCCAATATGATCAGAGTCTAAACAATCCACCACAGATTAAAATGATAATAAAGAACTTAAGACTCTTTGAAGGTTGTTTTAAACTTCATATGTTCGATAAATAAGCAGGTGATGCAGGTTTTATTGATTTGATTTGCTTAAAAAGCTCAAAACTATTAAAACTATACAGATTTAGGGTAAATTGTTCTCTGTTTAATCCCTGCACAATCTTGCTCTATGAGTAAAGAGTAAGCAGGGGTGGAAATAGAGGGGGGTAAGCAATGCCATAGCCACATAGCCATCTCCAGCCAATCATTGACTAGACCTGTGTAGATCCTGGATGGAGGGAAGATCAGCATGATCCTCTCTGCAAACCTCATTATTCATTACAGTTTGGACCGGTCCTGTTTGTAGATAAGAACCAAACCACAGAGATGGATGAGCATAAAACAGACTGAAGGATGGAGGTATAGAAAATGATCAGCTGCTGCTGTGGAAGGTTGAGCTTCCTGAGTTTCTGCAGGAAGTACAGTCTGAGATTCACTAAAATATTGGATTTAAAGGACAGATATCACAGTTTGATCACTTTGTTAAAATGTTTGCAGTCATATTTATTATTAAAGATGTTAAAAAAGAAAATCCATAATAATCCTTTTGACCTGTTGTTTCTGTGCTCAGCCTAAATCCTGTGTTGTTTTCCAGATCCTCATCCAGCAGCGTCTCTCTCAGTGAGTCCTGACAGAGTTCAACACTTCAAATCTGACTCTGTGTCTCTGAGCTGTGAGGGAAACTCTACTGAATGGACAGTGAAGTGGATTACAGAAATAGGTTTACTGTTTGACTGCTTCTACATGGGGAACATGAACAGATCTACATGTAGCAACAATATGGACTGGTATCATAGTGGAGTGTACTGGTGTGAGTCTGGATCAGGACACTTCAGCAACTCCGTCAACATCACTGTAAAGAGTAGGTTATGATTTATGATTTTCTTTCTCTTATTTCTTCTTATTTTCAACATTAAGACATTTCAGTATGTATAATATTTAATACATACTGTAACCTCTAACTTAAATATTTGCTCCTTGATAAATTATTCTCCTTAAATCCTCACATCTCTATAATTCTATCATCAAGGTTTTTCAACAAGTTCTTATTCAAAAAGTTTAAAAACTAAATAACCTTTGCTCAGTTTTAAAGTAATTTATCACTTTAATTTTATTTATGAATTTTTTGTTAAAAATGTTAACTTAACTTTTCTACAATAGAGAGTAAAACTGTCTGGTATCCAAACTGAATTAATTTAAAATAACATGATCATATTAATGGACACAAATGTTTCAGATCTGCTCTGAAACATCAGTGCTTTCAATTTCAGAGCTGCAGATTTATTCTGATGTTAATCATCATTGTTTATTTCTTCTATTTTCATCTTCATAAAAAGTATTCTTATTTAAATTCTGGACAATAACTATGTTATCTCCTCCAACACAGCTGATTATTTGTTGTCCTCTAGTGATTATCTTTCTGAGACCTCTCTCAGAGGAACAGTTGATGAAATCTCAATAAAATCTAGAAAATAAAAGTGAAGAGAACATCCTCAGCCTCCAATAATGTCGCTATAGGAACCATTCTGTGTTTAATCTGATATCCCAGTGAGGTCACAGGGTGACCCTTTTGTGTTGGTAGATCAGTTTATAAATAAAAACTTCTGTTCAAAGTGATCAAACTGAAGGGAAAGGCATCTTTTCAAGGTTTTTACAGTTCTAATCCCATCAATCTCTGATGAAATGTTCATGTTCTCTGATTGTTTTATAGAAGATATTAATGGTACTATCCTGGTCAGCCCCGTCCATCCTGTGACTGAGGGAGATCCTGTTACTCTGAGCTGCAGATATAAAGAACAAAAACTTCTCTCCAATGTGTTTTTCTATCACAATAACAAACTGATCCACAATGACAGCAGAGAGGAGCTGAAGATCTCTGCAGTGTCAAAGTCAGATGAAGGTTTCTACAAGTGTGAACATTCAGGAAAGGAGTCACCACAGAGCTGGATGGCTGTTAGAGGTGAGAGGATGAAAACATTTGATAGATTTTATTCAGGAAAACCATTCAAGTTTAATCTATGAACAAGGTGAACTCTAATAGTGTTAATGTGAATGTGCTGTGGGTTTCTGTCCATGTTTGCATCACATAACATCTGCAGATTAATAACATGGCTTTCTAATATTTATTTTCTCCAGTTCCTCTCACCAGTCCTGTCAGCTCTTCACTTCCTGTGCTGCTGATCGTTGGACCAGTTATTGGACTCATTCTCATTATTCTCCTGATGTTGTTGTGGTGCTGCAGACGGTCTAAGGGTGAGACCTTTTCATGAACACGGAAATATTTATTTTACTTATAGCTGCTTTAACTATTGCAACACAGACATTGATTCTTTCTCTGTGAAAGAAAAACAAGCTTGCAGGATACATAATGAATAATACAATATTTCACAGATCTATGCTGCATCAGGTGAGTTCACCATATTTTGATTTTCTTTCTCCCCATCATATTTTCATTTCATTGACTTTTCAATAACCTGTTTGTATCAATTATTAGATCAAGGGTCTCAGAGAGCAGGAGTCAGAGCTACACAAACCAGACTGAAGGTCAGAACCACAGCTTCTCGCTTTTTTCAACCTCATTATTGTTATCATAGACTGATATTTGCATTGGGGAATTCCTGCTGGTGATCAAGGCTCCAGCTGAAGGGGTTGGTCAAATGTTCAAGGATACAGCAACATAAAAAAACAAAAAAAAAAACCAAGCTAGATAAAATTTTGCATAAAGAATCTATTTACACCCTTCCTTCAATACAGTGAAGAAACTTGTGACCTCTCAAAGACTCAACAGGCAACCGATTTAATCCTCAATCTCCACAGGTTGTCCGGCCAGAACATGGATTACAGGCGACATTTGCACTCATGCAGCTCTTTCTTGAAGTTCTGCTGATTAGGATGAGAATTGTTCTTTGAGCCTTTCAGTATGGTTTATGCCTTTTAACAAAGTTTCATAAACTATTATAGGATGGTGATGCATTCAAAGTGTTAAGAAACAAAAAAAAACATCAAAACTTTATGAGCAAATACAGTTCTAAAGAGACTTTGTAATTACTGCCTTTTTATTACCAGCATGATTCTGATGAAATGCTCATTATAAAGTGATTTGATGGTAGATTTTGTGAGCCAGTCATTTTTTGAATCATTATTTTAAGAGCTTTGTTGTTAATCTGCTGGTGCTGTTTAGATCATTATGTAAATGTCAAAGTTCTATATATCAGTTTTGAAAGGTTTAAGTAAATTGTTGAAAATTTGTTAATTTTCTTAAATTCGTCATATTTTTTGGTCTTTTATTCATTATAGGTGACGCTCATCTCTATGATATAATCAGCTCTGCTGAAGCTGCTGGAAATGGTAAAGTTCATCTTTTAAAGCATAGAATCATGTAATTTACAGTCAAGTAACTCATAAAAAAATTTGCATTATTTCAGCAGGAGAAGAACTCAGAGATGTTAGATACTCTATCATTTAAATAAAATCCTCTAAGAAAGAGAGTGAGTCCCACATTTCTACAATGTAAAACATGAGAAACTGACTAAGTGGTTTTATCCCTCATATTGGATGATCTTTACAGGTAGACATCATAGACCACCAGGGGAGGGTGCTGTTTACTCTGAAGAGAAAACAGGAGCTGCAGGTACAGTCAATTTCATGTCATCATTACACTAAAGCTGATTACATCTCAGCATAGAGTTCAGTTCATCATCATCTCTCTGAGTTAATATCTACAAGCCAACTAAGAAGACGTCAGTGTCCTTTAAATAAGGTTCACCAAATTTAATTTTTCCGCTCATCCAAATCCACTACCTGTGCATATAGAGTGAAGTAACTATATGTATTTTTAGAGGGTTATCAGTCTGCTATTGCCCTGTTGTTGTTTTTTTGCTTTGTGCCACCATGAAAACACACCAGTCTCATTGCTAAAATTAGTCTATAAACAGCACTGTTTTGCATTTTATGTTGCAGTATTTAAAATCTGCTCTAAGTGTATTGGTTTGACATTTTCTATTAAGAAATATCTTCTCACTGACAGGAAAGTCAAGTCCAGCAGCAGAGGATGCAGCAGTTTATTCTGAGATCAGATCAGTACCAGCTCTGGAGGACAATGCTGACATGTAGGCTGGAGGCTCGAATGGATTTCTTTCCTCTAATATGTTCCATGTTAAATATAAGAATCTTTTTCAATCTGTCAACATTTTTTTTTTATTTCTCCTAGGAAAAACAATTCTAAAAGAGACAATGTATTCCAGAATAAAGTACAATGGTCTAGTATGTGGGAAAGCTTAAACTTCCAATCGATATTATGTCAAATATTATAAAGACTCTACTTTCATTTTTTTCTTATCACAAACTCCCTATTATCTACTTCTGAACTTATGTTTATTACATTCTAAGAGTTTGGTAGATTTGGATTAAAAACTGAATAAAATGGAACTGTTGTGTTTTCTGATGCTACAGTTTAGAAGGACTTATTTGTAATTAATGCTGTGTGACATAATTATTCGATGTGGAAAACAATATTTTGCGACTGACTTCTAAAGAGTTTACAGAAAAACTTTGCTCCTTTCGATTTTTGTTTTAAATCAGTCATGTTCTTATTGTTTTCCATAGTATCCTTTGTAAGCTTTAACTATCCTCTGGATTATTTAACTCCTTGCTTTAAATAATGAGACTCTGTTTGGTTGCTTAAATTCTATGAATGATTCCTGCTGTGTAGAGTTTTAGAGTGACAATGAAACCTTTCAATCATAGATTTCCTTCTTTGCTATAAAACCTTCACCTTCCAATATGTTAATTACACTTGAGAAACACATCTGGATGGAAAAGTTTGGTTATTTTGTTCTTTAAAACATAAGGCATCATCATCAGATTTAAAGTATAATGCTCTATCTCAGAGTAGCAGCAGCTGTTTAAGCAATGTAAAAAAAAAAAAAAAAAAGTTGGATATATCCTGTTGCCTAACATTTCAAATAAATGATTATTATTTCCAATGAGTTGATTTTTTTTTTTTTTTCCCCAAAAATAGTCATCTTTACGGAAGAGGATTAGGGCCACTGAAAAAAAAAAAAAAAAAAAAAAAGTTAACTGATTTTTTTTAATTTTATTTCAGAATTCTGACTTTTTTCTCAGAATTCTGACTTTTTTCTCAGAATTCTGACTTTAATCTCAGAATTCTGACTTTTTTTCTCAGAGTTCTGACTTTAATCTCAGAATTCTGACTTTTTTTGTCAGTATTCTGACTTTTTTTTATTGTCAGAATTCAGTCAGAATTCTGAGATTAAAGTCATATTTTGGATCTATGAGCATTGAGGGTCATTGATGTGAGCTGCAGTTCCACATTCTACCACTAGAGGTTTGTATTGCAATTACAGTATTTCTTGTTTGACAAGCTATATCGCCTAAACATGGTTGATTTTATGATGATTTGCAATTACTAAATTTAATTCTTTAAGTTTCAAGGTTGTTGTTTCATAATCATTTATTAACATTGTCCATTGATTTTTTTAAACATATATTCACAATTTAGTTTTTAGATTTTTTTTACATATATTCACAATTTAGTTTTTAGATTTTTTTAAATATATTCACAATTTAGTTTTTAGATTTTTTTTTAACATATATTCACAAATTTAGCTTTTTAGATTTTTTACATTTATTCACAATTAGTTTTTAGTTTTTTTTTTTTTGTTTTTTTTTACCTACATATATTTACAAAATTTTCCTTTTTGAAATTATCGATTACACAAGGATGAGACCCTTTTATAATCAAAAGGGCGAAACTGTTGTCGGAAATTTTTTTTTTGTTCTTTCTTTCTCATTATATTGATATATGCTATGCACTCTCTAAAAGTGTTTTTTTTTTTTTAGTTTGTCTCACTTGAGAGGCCACCAAATGTCTGAGTGGGAGATGGTTATAGACAAGACATACCTTTTTCCCATACCAAAACCACATACTGTACTTTTTCAAGGTAACTGTTTAACCAAAGTATCTGTTATTGTTTTGACTCTGCCTTAAAAGCAAGGGAACAACTTTGTCTAAGTTAAAACTGGGCAGACCATCATGCTGTAAATGTGAATATCTTTTTCTCCTTTACTTTGCAAAGTAAATAATGTGCTGACTGAGTAAATCCATCGATCTCCTTTATTTAACTGGACTAAATAGTTGAAAACTTTTTTTCACACGACGGAGAGGCTGGCATCGTTAGCTCTTAAATACCTCATTGCCAGCTACATGGTAGCATCTGTTTTTTTGAGTTCTCTAACCCTTTTGTTCTAGCTGGGCCCACCCCAGAACAGGACCTGCTGGGCCTTCTGACCTAATTCCGTAAAAAATTCAAAAAATATCCACTGGACCTTACCCATTATGTCCTAGTTTTGTTACAATTTAATAGATTCCTGAGTCATTGTTCATTTTTCACTGTAAACTGAATAAAACTGCACAATTTTAATTGTATTAAGAATCTCTGCATGAGGGTCATTCTGGTTATTATCTGCTGTTATTTTAAATGTCACCTTGAATGCATTAAGCTTTAAAACTTGAAAATTCCTCCGAGACTCTGGAACAGACTCTTAGAACCTCTTTCCCCGTTTTGCTTTTATTTACTTGCGTTTATTTTCAATATTGTTTAATGTTTGCATCGTCAGACCTAGTGGTGATGCCAGTCGTCACCACCTGTTGTGACTTCCGTCGTCCCTATGTTTGGTGACGCTAGTAGCCATCAGGTCTTGTGATGCAAGTCCCTGACTAGATATGGTGAGCAAGTTTCCACCTACTATGGCTGCTGCAAAGTTTCTTGCTCCTTCCCAATATCAGATGAACCCAACTAACCCCATGAAGCCTTTGGTGTCAGTCCAAATATTAAGCACACATGAGTATACAGCAAGGAGGAGTTACCTCAAAACTTTACTTTAGGAAATTTCCTTCCTTCTACTTATTAGAAACAATCATATTGTGATGGGGTTATTATGTTATAAAAGTACCATTGTTTTTTAACCAGTGGTCTTTTGTGTGTGTTTTTTTTTATACAGTAAACATTCAGGCCAGATCCACCTTCCTTTGGTTAACATTTTAATGGACAGAGACAGCTTCTTTGGTTGGTGATTAATAACTCTGTTGATAACAATAGTCTAAATTACTAAATTGGTGGATGCAACCAGATACAAGCGGCTGAAATGAGTTTTCTCCGTATTGTGTCTGGGCTCTCCCATAGAGATGAGGAGCTCAGTCATCCAGGGAGGACTCAAAGTGGAGCCGTTGC